AAACTAATTTTCAAGCAATTTTTTGTGACTGATGCTAGCAATTCTTGTAAAGAACGAAAAATAAAGCTTTTAAAATTCAAATTAATGTTTATATGACAATATCAAGAAATTTAGATAGCAACTTTTTGTATTTTTCGCAATTTTTAGAGACTATTCAAATTAACAACTTTCTAGCGTCTTAGGAGCCCATTCGGGACAGGCCTAGTCTCAATGGGGTGATGACTTTTACCGCTGAGTTAAAATTTTTATCATTTTGCAGCAAACGGTTAATTTCTTTCTGTCATTTTGATTATTTTGGTTGTGTCACGATAAACCGGTCTCCCTACTAAGGCTCTGTGATATTCTTATGACCACCCCTCCCCCGCTTCTTATTGGCTGGGAATTTTTAATAGTCCCCTCGATACACTTTGTTGGAGACGACTGACCCCCTCCCCCACTCCCCTTGAAATCCATGTGATATGTGATCCCCCCTCCCCCACAAGACGTAATGAACCACTGACTCAGCTTGGCCGTTATCGGTCGTTGAAAACATTTTTTGTAAACAATTGTTTTTGCCATTAATCCGGTTGACTGGTGTGTTTAGGTAAGAGTATGTAGACACTGTTGGAACGTTGTATTTCCTTGACTTTTTAGGCAGAATTTGATTGGGGGGAGGGGTGGGAGACTCGTCAAAATTTATGTGAATTGCATCACGGGTTTGCCAGCCGTCTTTGTATTTATATGAGGCTATGTAAATACGGAAATAGACCTCTGTTGCCAAAAGTTTCGATAAAACATGTGCTCTCACTAGTTGAAACAGTGTACTTTATTATATTACGGATACGCGAAGAGAAAGCTCAGTAGTGTGTCTCATTTCAGCTCCAAAATTTCTTCTGGTTCGTTCCAAAATTCAAATTTTGAATCGCATGTCTCAGAAAAAAAAGCAAAAACAACGAGCTACTGGTCTGCAATAAAAAAACACTCGCTACATTTACATTTATACAACGACAAGAAATAAACATCGATGGCGTAGTCTTAAGATTTTATTTCTGGCAAAATGTTCGAACCTCATCGATATTTGTCACGATTTACTTGCTTTCATTTAGTCTAGAATATTCCCAACACATCTTTGAAAACCATAGGGGTAGTCTGAAGCAGGTGGCTGACATTGTTATTCGCTATCAGCTCTTGAACCGTCACTTTAGGAGGAAAGAGCTAATCGGAGAATTATTGTGAACTCTTATGTGCGTGTTTAAACGTATCAAATTATTACTGTTGTAAATAGGTTGTAGTTATTAATCGTAATGAACACAGTTGTATACGATGTGAATCAAACGTGCGTGCTGCAACCCTTTTCAGGCGATAAGGTCGACTGGATACCCCTGCAGCTGAGTTCTTTGATCGTTGGAACCATGCGGTCAGATGCGATCGATCGAAACGTCGCGACCCCATCATGGAAATAACTATTTTAATTCCATACCACTTCATAACTTTTTCCACTTTCTGCAAAACTTTGATCCGCCTAGTCTCACATAAGTGAATATTCGAGGACAATACCTATTATGTTTCTTTTGCTTCATTAAAAATTCTCATTGTGACTTAATTTTGTCGGAGTGATCCAACTTGAATAATTTCCATTACAGGGTAAATTAGCGTAATCAAATAAGTTGATAACGTAGATTGGCCACCGTAAGGAGTTTAAAGACTTTAAAGGCTGACGTTTCGAGCGTTAGCCCTTCGTCAGAGCGATTGGAATTGCTCTGACGAAAGGCTAACGAAGCTCTTGACGAAGGGCTAACTTTCGAAACGTCAGCCTTTAAAGCCTTTAAACTCTTGACGTTGGCCAATTTACGTTATCAACGTAGTTCATTACACTAAATTACCCTGTTTCATCTCCTACCGACGCAGCACAACAGTTTCTATAGAAACTTACCCCATTATAAATTTGCATGACGGTCAACTTCCCACATCATATGCCAGAAGTAAACGGCTGGTCGTGCCTCAAAACATCACTAATTGATTATGCTTAAATATCCTTCTGAGAAGAGAGTTCTCACAAGCCTTGCAGTTCTATTGCAGTTAAACGGATATTTTGGACTTGTCTATCGTCACTGAAAATTAGCCAGAAGTTTGCGTTTGATTCAGCTGACAGAAACTCGACCCAAACAACCAAAAAAATTGATGACCAGAAGTTGCCAGTTATGAGGAACACTCTTGAGTGAGTAAAGTCCTTTCTAAAAGATTAATTTTATTTGATATGTCTCACAGGAATACTACGAGAATTCGAGCCTATGGCGTCGTCCTGGATGGCTTTAAATTAGTTTGTCCATTTTATGCAGCTGACCACACAGGCTTTCTTCAGGAAGCCAAGTCAAATTGTTTCAAGGGATATACTTCAAGAAGCCAGTTTAGCAATGTATTACTGAGCTAAATACTTTAAGCCTATTTTAGCTCACGACTCTGTCATGAAAGAGTGAAGCTCGCATGCCCGATATTTCTTTCAAAACATAATTCGCTGATGTCAGGACCTCCTTTTTTAAATTATTCATACGCTTTTGAGAGAAGTTTTGCACCCGCTAGTTTGATAATGTTGGACTATACACTAGCACACACTAGATTTTACTCTTGAGCACGCTACGTTTTGTCACAAGCCATGATTTTTAGGTTCCATCAGTGATTGCACTGAGGAGTAGTAAGAAAAGAAAAAAACAAAAGATTTACGGCAGAAAGTCTGCCGGTGGCAGTAAAACTTATTAGATGAAGCATCCTGTTACATAGTGACACCACTTGCGCACGTTCTGGCCTGTAAAAAGTTCCAATTTCAATGCAGGCTTAACTTAGTTTCAAAGTTATTTCTTTCCCAACGATCAGTTTTTCGATCTTGAAAAGAAAAGGAAGACTGCGTTAATCACTTAGGCAAGTTCATAGCATTGGAGAAGTACCGTATGGTTCTGTTATCATCATGATAGGGTAGAGCTAAACTAACAATATCATATTGGGAAATTTTTAAAAGCGTTGTCAGGGGCGGCGAGCCGTGTGCTATTTTAAAAGTATAGCGTGAATGTTTGAATCAGCAGAAAGAGCTGCTAATACATTAGGGAATGATTCTTAAAGAATTCAGTTACTTTATTAATTATTTAAATGTTTGTTTCCAGTTTGCATGCATTGAGACGACGACCGTTCTTTGTACTTAGTAAAAACTATTTTTGCCACTGAGGAATTGCATTTAAGAAGCTTTGACACTACTTTTTGGAAAACTAGGCGAAATTTTTTATTTAATCATAGACGAACGCGCTATGTAACTGTTTTTCGTATCCGTGTATTATCGACCCGTTTCATCTAATGCACGCCTTTTCACATCAAACTTTAAATTTGTCATATGCGTGTCATATAGCTCGTCATGTGTGTGCGATATGTCATACTGATTGAAACAAAGCCAAACAATAAGCGGCTCTGCAATTATCGTATTCTCTGTTTTTCTGTGGATGGCCACAAATTGTATCACTGTGCTCTCAAAATTTCAACCCTAATTAGGATGCTTATAAGCTTCACCGGCACCCGCTGGTTTGATAATGTTGGACAGTAAATGAAAACTTAAACTTACCTTATCTCTTACACTCGCTTCTCTCTGAGATCAGCCATGGTTTTTAGGTCCCAGCAGTGACTGCACTGAAGAGCAAGAAAACAATCTGAACAATAAAGACAGAACTGTCAAGAAAAGTGATTGCAAAGAAGTGCCTCTTGTCAAAGTGAAAAAAACAGATCCAAAAGACAGAAAACTTATGTGAGGTCTCACATTCTGATATAAAAATGAATATAAGAGGTCAATAGCGCATAAACAAATATGAGGAGTCAAGAGAAAGAGCAGCAATCATACTATAAAATGCTTTTTAGATCGGGTTGGACGGGAAATTATCTAGCTTTCGTTCATGACGTTAGGACCAAATGCGTTCAGCCTTAATGTCATGACTTAGCGAAAAATACGTTCACCGCAGTTCTGCCCTATTCCAACAAGAACAATATTACATTGTGTCAAACGAACGAGAATAAGAAATGAGTTTTGAAAAGCCAAATAATTCTGAAAAAAATGTTTTTAATAGATAAAACGAAGAGTTTCGCTGCCATTTACTTACATTATAACAACGATGTCGTATTTTGAATGTCCAAGAAAATGGAAATTCTGCGTGGATCTCAGCCAAAACGCTTTCAAACAAAGTCTGCAGGTGGTATTAAAAGAAGTTTTAAAAATAGCATGGTGTTTCATAGTTTTATCCTTTAAAATATGTTGTGGTCTGTAACGTTCCTCTTTCAATGCAAGTCAAGTTCAATTTAAAGTCAATTTGTTTCCAAAGAACTCTTTGTCGATTTTGAAAAGTGAAGGAAGACTGCGATACTCACTCAGGCAGGTTTATAGCATAGGAGAAGTACTCTATGGTTCTGTTATCATCCTTATAGGATAGAGCTAAACCAAACATATAATTTTTGGAAATTTTTTAATACGCGTTGTCAGGAGCGGTGAACTGTGTGCTATTTTAAAAGTATAGCACGAATGTTTGGATCAGGAGAAAGAGCGGCTAATAAGTTAGAGAATGGGTTTTAAAGGAGTCTGTTACTTTATATTTAGCTGTTTTTTTATTGCATGCATTGGGAGTACGACCGTTCACTGTACTGAGCAAAAACTGTCTCTGCCATTAAATAATTGCATTCAAAAAGCTTTGACAACTTTTATTGAAAGAAAATAAATAAAACTTTTGATTAAGCCATAGACGAATGCGGAATGGGACTGTTTTAGTATCCGTGTCTTATCGACTCGTGCCATATCTCACGCTTACCCTTTCAAAGAAAGCTTTAAATGTCGCATGACATGCGTGTGGGCGATACGTCATATCGCTTGAAAAACAGCCAAACAATAGGTGCCTCGCAGGTATTGTATTCCCTGTTTTTCAGTGCACGGCCACATATTTTTATCACTGTGCTCTCAAACTTCATGATTTCATTTCAGGTGAGATTATATAACCACAATGGGAGTCCAAGAGTTCTTTCATTTACCAGTTTTCCTCTCTATGTTGGTATCGTTTGACTCAGTTGTTACTCAGTGCCACCATAATACACGCGAAGTCTCCATCCTTGGTAAGATGCTTCAAAAACACATTTTTAAAACAATCACTGGAGCAGCATTCGGTGATGTGTGTTTGCGGGAGTGTTATCGTGACGTCAGATGCCAAAGCTTTAACTATGTGTTCACCCAAAACAAGTGTGAGCTGAGTAACCGCACAAAGGAAGCCAGGCCTGAAGATTTTGTACCCAACTCTGAGAGATATTACTTCAGACGAGATAGGAAGAGAGGTGAGCATTAAAGCAGAATGATTCAGCTAACTGTTTAAGAGGGGGAGATATCACGTTTTTTCTTCACTTTCTCCTTTTCTTATTTTCTAGCTATTCTCGGTGCCATTCCCGAGCTGTCTGCAGACTCGTGCAAGGAAATCAAGGCGAGTGAAGGTGGACAAGCGGTCAGCGGAAAATACTGGCTGAATTTTATCAAACCTGACACTCCTGTGTTGGTTCATTGTGACATGAAAACCGAAGGTAGAGTAAGACAGTTAAACAGAATGGATATGCTCTAAAAAAGTATTGTACCTTGCACAAAAGCCAACGGTCAGCTTTGTGCCAGGTACAATCCTTTTTCGTTGTTGATCCTAAGTCAAAGAATTATTAGAATTGTTCTAAAAATGTTTAAAATGTTTTTCACATTTTTTCCAATCTTATCTTTTATCTTATCTATATATATTTCGTATCTCAACCATTTCGACTATAGTTGACAGAAAGAATTGCGTATTCGTAGGAATAGATTTTTTTCAAAGTAGGATTTGATAAATCTTGACTCATTTACATCCTACTAAGTAAGGTGAACTCGTTGTTTATGCCTCGCTTTAATTCCCAACACCAAGCAACGATTCAATATGTTATTGGAATGATAAACATAGAAACTCTTGGAGAGCCTGCTCGATAAAATTGTTTGACACACACTTGGGTTTTTTTTAAACGGTGAATAACTTGATTAAAGAGGATCTGAACAATAATTTGCTTAAAATTGTGCTTCATGATCAATGTATATTGTCACTCTAAACGATTTGGATATTCATTAACAGATTCTGACGAATGTAATGCCTCCGTTAGTGTTTGTGATGTGAACGCTGACTGCAAAAACACTCTGGGATCGTATCGCTGCTCTTGCAGAGCCGGTTTTTCTGGAGATGGACATACTTGCAGAGGTGGGAAGAAATTTAATCAGAAAACGCAAAGTTTTCTTGAAGCCATGCCGTTGCAAGGAATTAATTCTTTGAGCTTTCTTTGACTATTACTTCATTAGGTCTAAAATTGTTTCCCGTCAACAATTTATTCTTGATCTAATTTAAAAGTTTGGTGCAAATGTTTTGGAATCTTTGTATTGTTTTCTTTCGATCAGATATTCTTTAATTTTATCTTACTGAAAAGAGCTTATTATGCGTATCAGCGATACGGCGGAACTTCCATGATAAACCCTAGACATCTTAGACCTCAATTTCCAGCTGTTAACCCTATCCTCAATAGTTTTTGTATAGTGTGTTCGTTGTTCAACTGAAAGTGATAAAATGCTGGGGAAAAGAAACAACTACCTCAAGATAAAGGCCGCAGAATTTGCGTAAAAGGCAGAAAAAGCCGATTGCCAGAACATTTTAGGCTCTTATCAGTGTTCTCGCAGACCTGGATTTTTTGGCATTGGTACAAATTGGTACCGACATTTGGGTTTGGATATTTGGATATTTGGGTTTTTAAGACAGATTAACTAACTTGTTATTTTCAACGCTTCAAATTCGATTCACGTTTTTTGTGGACATTCCCCTTAAGATTTCATAGATATCATGTTCAGGAGTAAATACTTTTTTTCTTTTTAAAGGTGCTGTCAATCTCAAAACCGATGGGAGAAGGGGACGCTTTGGAACTATACAGACGTTCATTGTTCCACGGACCACCCGCTATCTCATCAAAGCCTGGGGAGCTCGGGGAGGAACACATTCATACGATTATGGAGACAATCCAGGAACATATTATGGTGGAAAGGGAGCGTTTAAAGAAGGGAAGTTTAGACTGAATAAGGGAACAGTGTTAAATATTGTGGTGGGAAAAAAAGGAGGAGATTCAGTGGAGGTTAAAGGCGGACAAAGCACTGACAAAACAGCAGCTCAACTAGGAGTGTCCGTGGAAGACAATGCTGGCACTGGAGGAGGGGGAGGAAGTTTTGTTTATACTACAGCTGATGTTCTGTTGCTGGCTGCCGGAGGAGGAGGGGGTGCGTCTGGCGGATATAATGGTGTGGATGGTCAGGCGGAATCAAATGGCACCAGTAGTGTAGGGCAGGTTTCGTCAGAAGTTCGAAATGGAGGCATAGGTGGGCAGCCAGGTGAATGCAACAGTGAGGGCGGTTACCACCATGGAGGAGTGGGAGCGGGTTGGTTTGGTCAAGGTTGTACCCGGCTAAGCTCCTCCCATGGGGAAAGAGGTGGATCACGTGCGCAAGTGTGGATCGGAGGTCAAGCCGGAGATATGAATAGCGGTAATAACGGGGGCCCTGCACCAGGAGCAGTTGGTGGGTTTGGTGGTGGGGGAGGTGGAGCAGAGGATAATGGTGCATCAGGTGGAGGTGGTGGCTACTCTGGGGGGGGTAGTGGTACCCGTTGGCAACAAGCCGGAGGTGGAGGAGGCTCGTACTGTAATGGCGAAGATTGTTCCGGTTTGGCTGGTGGGAATTGGAATGATGATGGCCTTGTGCAAATTATGGAATTGTTCGGCTGATTCCAACACATTTTCTTGAGTTTTACAGTAATTTTTTCAAAATGGATTTCTGTATTATTAGTAGTTGTGGTGGTAATTGCAGACGTTTTATATGCATTTAAATCCCTTGTTCCTTTTTCAACAAGGGAGATGATAAGAATCCTCTTCCTCTGGCTATCTATTAAAAATGGCACCGTCTACGATTATAATATTCAACACGCTTAAGCTTAAAATTCTGAGGTTTGTTGACACTTTTTAAAATTTAACTTGTAAGAGTGTGGTCAAAAACCATTATAAAGTTAAAAATTTGAAGGGAACTGTCCAATGTTTTCCATCTATTAAGTATCCTATTATAGAAAGTCTTTTAAATAGTAAACTCTTCAGAACTGGTCCCGAGAAAAACAAAAAGAACGCTTCACAGTAGGCACAGTCGTCTAGTAAGTTATTGTATAGCAAAATGAATAAATTAGAGGAGGCGATGCAGAAACAAATCGAACATTTTGATGACCCCCTTTAAAGTGTGTAAGAGAGCAAAATATCACAAAACCATAATATCATGCCGGTTTAACGTTACTCTCAGTCAAGCCATGTTCACGTGTAATAGTGGTCGTTCATAAACACGAGCGGGAAACGTTCCATTGCTGCCTACTGATGTCAAAGATTTTGTAATGTTGTCCACTCAGATCAAAAAGTTTACACAGACAACAGTTTTATTGTTGGATGTAATGTTACCCCAAAGTAACCAATGATAGTGCCCGCTGTTAAGAAAAAATTACAGTTGTATAACAGGATCAGTTTTTGGTACATGAGATTGATTGTAAGGTTACCAGTCGTTTCGCACCTTCGGTCGTTTCGTACTCAGCTAAAACGTTTCGTACCCAAACAGTTGAGTCGACTCGTACCCAAACAATTAAGTCGTTTCGTACCCAGCACGGTCGTTTCGAGATGTAAAACTTTCATCAAGTAACTTGTTTAAGTTCGCCTCTTCCCCTGTTTACACAATTTTAAAAGCTGAGCCTCCGAATGAGTCAATTGATTTCAGCTTCCTTGTGTTTTGCCCCATTTTCTCCATGTTAAAAATTCGTTTCGGGCATAAGAGACTAATGGACATCAATTGATTCATGAATATCTTTCTTTTATTATTATTATTATCATTATTATTATTATTATCATTATTATTATTATTATCATTGTTATTAATATCTCTTCCATCACAGTCTTTGCTGGTGTTCTTTTTGTGCATCCGCTGGGCGCAAACCATGCACCTATGGCATCAGTCACTCAAGTAAATCATTCTGTTCATACGCTAAGCACCTTTCTGAGTATTTGCATAGATCCCAGAATGCAGATCTTTTGAATCTGTGTCACATTAGCTTCTTCTGATACTTTCGTTATGTTTTCCACCATACACTTCTTTACTGTACCAAGCGCACCAACAACCAGAAGGAGCACTATGGTTTTCATACGACACATGTTCTGTATTTCTAGTTCTAGGTCTTTGCACTTGCTGTTCTTTTCCATTTCCTTCAGAACGATGTTTCTATCAGATGGAACAGTCATATCAATCAGTTTGCAGTTGGAACTCGCCGAATATTTAAGAGAGGTTGTCAGTAATTTTCGAGAATCCGGCGACAGAAGCAAAAATTCAACTTTGTTTTTATTTTCTCAAAAAGACCCTTTTGGTGAATCGTTTTCAAAAATAATATTCAAAAGTTCCAGCGAGTTTTTATTTTGGAAAAAAATTTGAAAGTTCGAAATCGGCCAAAACGTACCTAATTTGCATAATTTCTATTGGGCTTTTAGTGCATTTTCACAACGCTCGTACAAGACAGCGAAAAATTATCTTGGATTCATTTTTCATCCCTCGGAGTAGCTTTGCAACTATATTTCATCTCTTACTGAACTTTCTTTCGTTTGTAACCACCCGCGTAAAGTACACTATATTTTCTATTCCGTTTGTACGCTGAATTTTGCTATATTTCAAACGACCATAACATTTGGGGTATACGAATTTACATAAAATAAAAGAGCTCTTTTCAATCAGAAATTCTTCGTGTTTATCATGTAAAAATATTGTTTTTGGCCTGTGAAATGTGAGCGCGCCAGACCAAAATAGATAGCGTGCAGTTTCACGAAGTTAGGCCATTTTCCTTGCTGTACTCCTACTGCAAATCGCGCGCTATTGGGACAAAACTCGACGTATTTGGTCTCTACTTCAGTTTTGATTCATTTAAATATATCGATTTTAACTTAAAAATTAACCATCCTTCATTGTTAAGTGAACAAACCACCGTTTTAGGTAAAGTTTTTGAGCTGACTTTTCTCGAGTGCTAAATAAACAAATCGCTGTTTACAAAGATACCAGCTCTGTCGACGTGTTTTTAGCTGAAAAATCGATGGGAAAATCGTAGCGTTTCTCTCTCCTGTCATTTATTATTTTAAAGATTTTCTAAAATCAGGATATAGGGCACTTGTACAAAACCAAAACATTCATTAGTCTACAATTTGATTGTTTATTATCATTATCGCACAGTTCACAATAAGGAAACTGTAACAGGAGAGGAGATTTTAAATTCAGACGCCGCGTGCTTGTTGACGTACAAGTTCCCGAGTGTAACAATTTCGGCTTTTTGGGAAACTCTGCTTCTCTTATATGATAGGAAATATCAATAGCCCCATAAAATTCATTAACTGCGCCATGTTTCCAGAAAATAAGACTGGAAAATGGTTTTTCCACTTTCCACCATCAAGAAATTCTACGTAGAAATAGTATTTGTAGCGTGACTGCGTGACCTTTCATGAGAAGTAAAAATTGTTTTTTCTTTTTTTTAAGAGGAAACCTCCAGAAAGTTCTTTATCCTTCTGTCATCTTATTTGCCTGTTTTTTGACTGCAAATATCATCTGCATTTGCCATTATTTTCGCTGATTGTCCTGCGTGCACGTGCGAGCAAGTTTATATACAGCACTCTTTCGAGTTTCTTTGCGTGGTGTCGGGCATAAGTGTTTAGGTCTGGCTCAAAAGATATCTGCGCGCTGCAACACGGGTTTCTATGTTTTCTCCTTTTTCTTTATTTGTATTTTTATTTTCCTCCTTGCATTATCACACATGTATGTTTTTTTTATTCCCTCGGCGCGTTCCCTCAGATTTGGAAGTAGGCTATGAAAAGTCAATATTGACCAGAACTGAAACCTTTTCTATCACTATTTGTTTCAAAGAACCCCTGTTATTTATAACTTTATTTCTCAAGAGAATATGTTTTTATTTGCCATTTACTTCCATTAGTACATGAAACTAGGTCCCGATAAGTTTTTTTGTTTCGTGACTCCCAAAAGCTGTTTGCGACAACATCAGTTGAGAAATCAAAAGCAATTACACCCGAGAAATTCGCCTGTAGCCTTCACTGGTCAATTTATGACCTGTTTTATAATATGTCATTTTTCCCAGTAAATTTAAGAGAGGGTCAATTTTTTGTGGCAGCCAAGATAGATATCTCTGAAAAGTCTCTAAAACTCTTAAAGAATTTACACTGCCGGTAATATTTTCATCCTTCTCGCAACAGCGCAACAGACATTGTCAATCCTTTGTAGTGTAGGTGCATCAGTTGTATTACGTCTTCATAGTGATGCCGTATAAGAAATCGAGTGTCTAAAAAGCTCTCAATTCTCGCGCTGGCCAGGGACGGCAACAGCTCACAACTCTAAACTCGTGGGTGTAGAGCATAAAAAAATAAAAAATAAAAGCATTTGAGAGACGTCAATGTATCCCAAACATGCGTTTCGTCCGAGAAGAAGCTTATTCTAGCGCGTATTGGCTTATTTGGAGATTACGAAGGCCGCGATTTCACGATATGCCTCAAATATCGTGCACAACTTGGTATGAGATTCATGCCAGTATCCTCGTCATAAAAATCGGACACGTAAAGTTGAGAGAGAGGTGAATCTGAAGATGGCGGAAGAAATCAAAGCTGGTGGCGAGTCTTCCTGGTGGCAAGGTGACTGTAAACCGAATAGAACGCGTACTGTAACCGTTATCTTAGAGTCAGCAATGAATAAGGAAGAAGGGTAAGAAGAACGCTTATCTGAACGTCAGTTTTCCTAAATAATGATTTGAGACTGAAATGAACTTTATTTCATATGATTGCTAGGGATACGCAGGTACAATAGAGACGCTCACATAAATAGAGGTGGGCGACCCTCCCTCTGACTTTAGAACTGCGACAAGTTTATAGCGCAGACCAACTGGCACAGTCTTGAGCACCTCAGGGTCTCACTAGGCTCATCGCATAAGAAACCCTTCAGCAAACTAATCGTAGAAGTGGGTGGTTATCAGCAACGTGCACGGATCCCTGAACGCGGGTCATCGCGAGAACTATATCCAATCCGTCACGGACAGAACAAGAAAGCGAGATGTTCTTGCTAAGAGGAAGGATGTATCAAGACATTTCAGTCATCGGCTGCCATCCAAAAGCACCCTAACAAAGGCAAACACAGTGAAGCTGACAAAAAAATCCGCCTATGATAAGATCAAGAGAAAATGGACGAAGACCGGCTTGCCATTTTAAAGGGGGCGGTTACGTTCAAGGTTGGACCTCAGGTAAACTTCTGACGAAACATCCCTAACTAGCTACATGGACTTTGCATGGGCTCTTTGGAAAACACAAAAACCAACCACCTTTTCTCAGAAAGCAAAGAATTATTTCATTGACATGAGCTGGACAGTGGAGGAAACTAGTAAGGCAACCGCCTCTAACAAGGCAGAAGATAAGGAGTGACCTTGAAAATTTAGACGAAGACTGCAGGAGAGGGTACAGCTGCTATTAAGCAAAAAAAAAAAATAAAGATCTTTGCATCTCACTTTTCAAAGTTGTCAAATATTTGGATGAATCGAAAAGTCTAAAAACTCAGTCGTTTATTTGCCTCTGTTGATTGACAAGCCGTCAATCAAATTGACTGATACTTGAGGTGGACATTAACTAAGGATCAAGAAAAACCGGGGGGTGGTCGATATCCCCCCGGAAAA